AATTTCTAACAACAAAAAACAAATAACGCTTTATTGTGCAAAAAGCCAAAATAGCTTCATCGACAAAGCATTTACAAAACAAACAAAAGCACAAAAAAATATACAATACAAATCATGCAATTCAAAAAAATTTAAGTCATTAAAATTACAAATAGAACACACAACACAAAAAAAGGCGTACAATAAAATTCTACAATAGGAAGATTGTAAATAGATATAATTTTAAGAGTTATAAAATACTAAATACTTGACTTTCGACAGTGTGTGGGACGATCAAAATTTTAAAATTCAAAATTGTTCATGATTTAACATCAACAAAAAAGTCGTTTACCGCCTCTCTCCAGTAAGTATGATTTCAGAGCTTTGAGAAATGCGGGAAAGAATGACAGCGACTTGATATTCAAAGGCAGATGATTGTACATTTTTTTGGCATTTTACAGTATTCAACTTTTAACTTTCTGAGCTCGGGGTTGGCAGATAAAGATCGTGCTCCGCATTCCTAAATGGATAGTTATGAGATGGCCTTTCGGGAATAGCAGATATGTGCTTGCGGATTAAGCAAACGGATTCAAAAATGAATAAAGAAGGAAGAGTCAATATTTTGAAATTTTTAAAGAAATTCTGGCAGTGAGTTCTACTGTTCAGTCTCAATAAATATCGAACTGCTCTCTTTTGAAGTCTGAAAATTTGATCAAATTTTGTTGCGCAGCAAGTACCCCAGAATGGAAGGGCATAACGAAGATGTGACTCAAAAAGGGCATAATAGATGTTGATAAGTTGTTAATTAAGTTAATAATAATTCTAGATGTTGATAAGTTATGTTCCTTAGAAACTGATCTTAGCGCAAAACAGGCAGCGCTTAGTTTCTTTGATAGAGCTTCGATGTGAAAGTCCCATTTTAACGAGTTGTCTACAACAAGTCCTAAGAATTTCACAGAGTCCAATAGTGTCGTTATTAAGTACAAAAGGTTGTATAGTACTTTTATATGACGAAACTTTAGTTTTTGATAGGTTGAGGCATAGGAGATTAGAATCGCACTAAGATTTAATGGTGATATAGCATATAGTATCATATAGTGCCGTAACATCTGGGCCGCTCCAAGTGAAACTAGTATCGTACTAGTACTATCGCAAAGAGGCAGATTTTACCGCTAATGTCTAGATTTCCAATGTCGTTGATAAACATCAGAAACAAAATAGGGCCAAGTACTGAACCGAGTATAGGCTTACAAGAAGACATAGACGTATCAATCCTCACAAGCTGCCTTCTGTTGCGAAGATATGACTTAAGCCATTCGAGCGGCACTCCTCTGAAACCATAGTATTGAAATTTGTTAATTAATATATTATGATTTACACAGTCGAAAGCCTTAGAGAAATCACAGAAAATTGTAGCTGTAGAGTGATGGTTATTCAGGCTAGTGTATAATTCTTAAAAAGGTCGAACATAGCATCATTTGTGCAACTGTTGACTGACAAAAGTGACCAAATATATTACTCCAAAATATCTAGATAAGCTAGAGGGTAATTCCAATAAGAATTGTTAATTTTTAGACTATATTAGTCAGGCTGTGATAGAATTCATTAGTGTTTGATGACTTCATCATAGAAATTGGAATAGTAGTCACTTTGATGAATTAAAAATTAAAGCATTAAATTTTGAAACATTTAAAATATTAGATCATGAGGGATATTAGATAAGCTCTTCGACATACCAGTGAGTAGTAAATAGTTAACCAGTAAATACAGCTAGATATATTTTTTTCAGGTTTTTTAATTAATAGTAATAACACTACTGTCACATCCTTTCTTTAGACAAACTATATTTTTGAGTAATAGTTGTTCTATGATGATACTTATCAAGATTTTAAGTTAAAGCTTTAAAACAAGAATTACTTTTGATAATGGAATTTAATACTTACTTTACCTTGAAAAAACGAAACTAAGATTTATTTTCTATGCATTATTTACAAAGACGTTAGTGTGTTTTAATATCTTTGATTATTTATAACAAACTATTTTACATTTTACAACTTTTTAACAATATTTTTGTATAATTTTTCTGTTACATACAGTAAAAAATTGAATGTTGTACCACAGCTTTACGTTGGACAGCCGGTTATTTAAATATGGAACATTGCGTACCTACATAGATATTTCACTTATGTAACAAGTCGGATTCTAGACTTCAATGAAGCTCCTCTTATAGGAGCCTGTATACTCAAAAGCTAGTAAAGATGACCAGCTGGTGGTGATAAGCTGTGGTTATACATTTCTTCGCGAAGCTTATTTACTTATTTATTTAATTATTTATTTTATCTTATTTATTTAATATACACCATTCAACAGCAAACTGGTCGTTCTCCATCAATTACAAATTACATATAAACAAATTCAGAGACCACAAAATAAGTAATTATAATAAAAGCTGGCAAAACAAAACATGTACAAAAGTAAAAGCAACAACTGATAGATCAGATCAACAAAACAAAATTGACAAAAAAAATGAAAAGTAATTAGTGATAGGAAAAGCCGATTAATTTCAATAATCGAGTACTCGAGTTTCAAGCGATTGCAATATCCGAGTGATCGCTCGAGCGAAATATTACTCGTATTTAAAAGTACGGGTTTTCACCCGTCGCTTGTTGTAAGTACTCGTTAACGCCAAGCGCGAAGCAGTAAGTTGTGTGCGCAGTGATGAATGGCAAGTAGCAAGCGGCGAGCGATTTTCTTGATCGCTTGGTTTAGTTTATTTCGAAGCATTGTCGATGTAGGTCGCAAAATTTTGTCCCTCAGATACGGAGCGAATAAATATATAATATACGACGTCGTATAAATTTGCTACCTGCAATATATGTAGAAAATTCACTCGGCTTTTTATCGAGTATGTCACATTAAAATCGGATTTCAATTTCACTTGTCACTTGCATCGCTCGTTCATAATCGAGCGATGTCGGTTATTTCAATAATCGAGTACTCGAGCGAATTTTCGCTCGAGTTATCCCATCACTAATAAGAATGTCTCACGTCTGAGTTCACTGGTAACTTCTGTATATTTAAATTGTTCATATTGTATTATAATATGTATTTATAGTATGTATATGTATAGTATATAAATTACAGCTATTATTATTTTTTAAATAACTTATCAAGCTATACTTAAATAAAAGAAAACGCATAGATCTCATATATTCCCATACATACTCATAGGCGTGTTTCTGGGGTTGAACTATACTACCATTTAAAATACTTGCACTTATTTCTGCGACACCCTGTATATAATAAAGTAGACTTTAAAATATAAAATTTATTTTTAATAACTAATTATATTGCTGCTTACAGTAAATAGCTTGTATAAATAAAACTTCATGGCGTCAATTATAGCCTTATATATAAATAACTATGTATAATTCAAACAGTTATATAGAATCAATTAAAAAAATGTGTTTTCTTTTATCAAAATAAAAGAACAAAAATGTACATATCTATTTCAAAATATTAATAGCATAGAAAAGCTCCCCATACACCAGAAGGTTTGGCTTGCGGGTTTCGCCTGCGGATAAAAACTTTGCATTCGTGGGGCAAGCCTGTCACAGGCCAAATCCGCTGATTTGATTAGTCTAAAAAACGAACGGAAGATACGCTCTTTCTTTCTAAGCCGCAGTTTTTATTCCGATAAATATTTATCTGTATTAAAATTCCTATAAAACGTCGAATTTTGTCCCAAACGAGAATATTTAATCGGACAAAGATCTAATCGGCAGGTCAAGTCCGTAGACCAAAATTCGAGAGTTTTGGTACGTGACAGGCCGCAGGTCCGATCTTTTGGTGCATGGGGGGCTATAGATCTTGTGACGCTTTTAAATCCATTAAACATTAAACATCTATGTACCTAAAGGAAGACATAAAAATGTATTATCTAGGCAACGAAATATATGACTGTGGCGCATTGTTAGTCACATAAGTGTCGTATTCAAAGACTTATTTAAATATTTTAAAATAAGGGAAAATAAAGTCTGGACCACGGAATGTATTGTATAAAAATTGATACCATCTTGCTTATTTACATGTATATAAAATGATCTCTTTTCAAATATGTACATACACATCAGAAATAAAGATTTAGTTTTGAACTTACGTTTGTTTAATATTTGACTTATTATAATCAAATACAATTATTTCTTTACAGTTTATCATATATTCATTTTATTTCTGGTAAGGACTATGCCATAAATTTAAAATTAATATAATAGTAATAAATATATTAACTCGAGTTTGGAATTGTTAGAAGCATATATTTTTTTAAATCTTACATTGTGTTTTTGCAATATGCTGAAATGAATAGTCAGTGATATGCGATATATCTCGCCAAAACTCTGTGTAAATTTCAAAATTAAAGAAATTGTCAGTCCAAAATGATTAGGTATTTGAAAACTCAACATTTTCAACCACTTTCAAACCAATATTAGGGATTTTAGACATGAAAGAAACATCTACTTCCAAAAACAGATAGACTGACTGAAAATTTTCATATTCGTTTTTAAAGGTCAATATATTGTGTTCTAGGGGGCCGATTTTGATGATTTTTTAACCAATTTGTAGCTAAATTATACGCCAAAGAGTTAAAATACCCCAATAGAAAAAGTCCAATACTACAAATACTCGTGCACAATGATAAATGAAACTGCCGAACAATATTACAAGAAATAAAGTACAGGATTGAGATAGCCAGAAATTCTTTTTTAAACTGATTAATTGGTATCATAAAGAGAGTTTCCTCTTCCCATTACAATCTATATCTATGTAAACCATTCCACAGGGTGTATCGAACTTTTACGTCAAATAATTTAGCTACAAATTGCTAGAAAACCATCAAAATCGGTTCACCAGAACAATATGTTTTTTTTAAACTTTACAATACAAGAAAATTTGAAGATGTCTGTTTTATCTTTTAAGTAATATCATAAAGAGAGTCTTATTCCATGCTTTTTTCTTTTCAGTTTCAAGACGATCGTTGGATATGATGCGAGTGAGAGCCACAGATCCGAGACCCTGTCCGAAATGTGGTAAAATCTACAGGTCCGCACACACGTTAAGAACACATTTGGAAGACAAGCACACGATATGTCCTGGCTACAGGTGCGTATTGTGTGGTACAGTGGCCAAGTCCAGGAATTCCCTCCATTCGCACATGTCCAGACAGCATCGGGGGATCAGTACGAAGGATCTTCCTGTGTTGCCGATGCCAGCGCCATTCGATCCGGAACTGGCTAGCAGGTAAACGATTTTCAGTAGAATAGGTGGATGGTTTTAAAAGTATTTAGTCTCTTAAAGCGGGTTACACACGTCCAACTGGATTGGTCAACGATAGAGCTGAAAACCTAATCGATTGCTAAGTCAGAGGCTGCCAGGAGATCTACAGCTTGTATTGAAATGAAATTTTGTGGGCATATGTAGGTTGATTTAGAGCATTTTTTTTAAAATATGGAGAGTTCTACAGGGTGTCCCTAAAAAAGTTACTCATCAAAGTTGTGTTTTTTGTAATGGAACACCCTACATATTAATATACTTCTTTAATGAAACTCACCTTTATTTTTCTTATAGAATCCGAAAATCAATTAATATATAGGGTGTTCCATTACAAAAAAACACAACTTTGATGTGTAACTTTTTTTGGGGGCACCCAATAACTCTAATATAATATACCCTTAAGCCTGTAAACTTTATATTTTTTAAAACAAGCTCTAAATCAACCTACATACGCTCTCAAAATTCCATTTCAATACAAACTGTCGTTCTCCTTGGAGCCTCCGCGTCGTATGAGAGGTGCCACCCTGTATATTGTTCTCCTTTTTTTATCACTCAACATAAATATTCTTATATGTTTTTTGTTTTTTGTCCTACTAGTAGTATAATAGATAAACTGACTTTATAGGTTGCTTGCGAAGGCCGGCGTCAAAATCAGCCCCGCCGAGCTGCGGGCCCGAGCGTCTCCCACCGGACCTCGGCGATCCGACGTGAAGCTGGACGCCAAGAGCGCCTACTCGGGGGCGGCCTCGGAGGCGGGCAGCTCCATCTGCGGCGACAACGACCCGGAGGACTTGACGGTGTCGCAGGCCAGCAGGTACGGGCCCGTCGATTTCGCGCTGTCGCCGCCACTGGGCCACCAGAACAATTTTAAGCCGCACAGGTAGTGTGTTGGGGTTGGTTGGGGTAATGCCGACGAGTGTTGGTCAGTGTTAGCCGGTATTAGTGTATATAGAGGGTGATGATAAGATCGATGTAAACCATTGGAGTTGTGAAAATTATGCAAGTTACAAAATTCTTTAATCCCCGTTCCAGTTCAGTGCCGGAAACATTGCGGCCTGTGAGGTTTATTGTGTTTGTTCCCTTTCTATGTCTGCATCCATTCCCCTATCCCTGTATCCTGCACCAACTTGTGCAGGTGCTTGATAGGATGGTAGCATAGTTCCTCCGGTTCTAGCCTTGCGTTTCCAAATAAAAAGTGTCGCTTGCGATCCAGAGCCTCGTAGTGATATATTGTGTGCTCTGTTGTTTCAGGATCTTTAACACAGACAAGGATCTGCAGCGGAGAATTTTATTTTCTTTGCCTAATTTGCTCAAATACTCTAGGCATTTTTTGACCAACGTCGAATATAAGACAGGATGGCTATTGGTTTCCGATATTTCCTTTTTTTTTCGAGTGCAAAGGGTGTCTATAGATTTACTTCACGATGCTCATTGTCTCTCTGCCCTTTCTTTACAACTTATTACATTTCGGACTATCCGATATATTATAGCTTCCATTGTTCTTCCCCTTTAACTAAGTACATCATAAATGCGGGTAAGTCAAAGTCTCTGTCGGTTTCTATACGGAATTGTTCCCTAAAAAAAATCTTGACCATAGTAGATGCATGATGCACTATCAACCCTACGACGATCGTATATTAATATTTTCTAAAACACCCATGGCCAGACGATGCTTGACTCATGAAGTAATCGACTTCTTGTCTGTTTAACCATAGTTGTATGTCGGGTATTAACCTGTATGTTTATCTGCCATATATTCCGTTATTCCATTTCTCTTGCCACTGTTGGGGAAGTTTTGTCCTTACTAGATTTTTACCCATCCCATGGTATCTATCATATCGTTCCTGTATGAGCAGATCAATAGGCGCTATTTCAGCTATAAATCCTATAGCCTCCAGATACCGTTTTGTAAGTGCTGCATATAATAGACGTAATGCGTTGTAGTCTGCTTAGTCTTTGCATTAGCTTGCGATTGTTAGTAGTTTCTATCTAAGTTAAGTTGTACGCATCTACAACTTTCCTATGACTTGAGATGACATATAATCCACCACCTCCACTTCCTTCATAAAAGCAAAATAAAAACACTAAATCACCACAATACACCAAAACACTTTTACTTTTACACTGGACGCGCGTTTCGCTAACCATGTTAGCATCATCAGCAGATGATTAAAAACTGTTTGCAATCAAGTTTTTAATCATCTGCTGATGATGCTAACATGGTTAGCGAAACGCTCGTCCAGTGTAAAAGTAAAAGTGTTTTGTGTATTGTGATGATTTAGTGTTTTTATTTTGCTGTGTAACACCAAAGGTTCCAACCCATCAACTGTAATCCTTCATAAAATCCTACTTTCTTCTTTACTGCCTTTACCTCTGGTATCCTTCATATACTGAGTTTGGTTTGGTTTGATTGTGGTCTCTACTCATTTCTGCAGCCTCTAGTAACGTCAAGCGATACAAAAATACGAAGTGGGCTTTCTGTATAAAATCCGTTTCTCTCCTTAGCTCCTGTTTAATTAAGTTTTGCCTCTGGTATGGTTTACATTCTGAGTTACCGTGCTCGCTTGATAGTTAAGTTTCGCTATAGGTGTTATTTAGTTACTTTCTTACCATGTTCTAATACTTCCACTATCTTAAAGAGGAGTTGTGTGCCCCAACATTTTAGGTGACGTTTCTGTTTCTTTCGTAGTTTTTAAGATATCAGTAGTGGGCATTGAAATTATTATCACTCCGTATACACTTAAATAATAATACTTATTTTGATAGCTAATCTTATATTTCAATATCACTGATGTATAAATAATGTTTTAAAAATTTCGAAAAAAATGCTAAATAGAGTTATTCAGGGGAATGTTAAGAGACACAATTTAAAAATATTTTGAATATACAGGGTATTTCAAAAACGTGTGGCGGTTATAACATAACTGTATTCATTGTGGTAGAAAATAACCAGCGAAGCAATTGTTTGTGTATTATTTTCGACTGTTTTAAATGGTTTAACCTATACGGGGTGAGACTTAAACAACTGCAAATATTTTCAGGTCTGGTAGATCTCGATAAAAGAAACTTATTTTTTCTTTGCCGTTTTTCAATTTTTTTTGCCGTTTGGAAATTAAAAAAATCATTTATTTTTAATACATTTTGAGAGGTTTTTTTGTGGATACACCGGGTGTTTTTTTTGTATTTGCATCCTCTTTAGTGCCGTAACCATAGAGTAAAGCCGTTACCATGGTAATTTCAGAGATTAAGAATTATACCGTGGAAAAATTTGCTGTGAACGAGCAGTTCTAAAAAGTTTTCTAAAATATACAGGAAAATTTAAAAGAAAATGCGCGGTTTTCAACATCTTTTTTTTTAACTTCATGACGTGTTCATGAGGTCGAAATATATATACCCCCTTAAAAATATTCGCATTTATTTAAAACTCACCCTGTATATGATTAATTTTTGAACGGTGGAATAGTTTCGTAGCTTCTGTATATGTTTACTTTTATTCTCATGATGCAGATTTTTTTCAGTTTATACACTGCCATTATTCTTTTGTAAAAACTTGCTGATTTTTTTCATGCTTTTTTGCTTAATAAGAAACTTGCACGTTAAGCTATATTAGTGATATTGAGTATTCGTTGGTTATACCATACGATCGAAAAAAAAACGGCGTCAGATGGCTGGGAATGACAATCGATGATAATTTTGGCGAAGTCAAGCCCTAGACGTCATTTACTTGTCTCATACTTTTCTTCTTATTCTTTTTAATGCTACCTGTTGGACTAAGAAAATTGTTTTATATTGAGTAAAAATGATTTTAAAATGGTGCAGGTTAGAAAATATTTTTTAGAAATTTTTTTCAGAAAAAAATAGATTTGTGTCTGAAAATGTTCTATCTTTTTTTAATCTTGATTTTTAGTGTTAATTTTTAACAAGTTTTATGCCAATTTTTAGTAAATGACGTCTAGAGATTGACCTCGCCAAAATTATCATCGATTGTCATTTCCCAGCCGTCTTTGACGCCGTTTTTTTTCAATCATACGGTACTAATATCAGAGTCTATTCAGTACTAGTACGTTTCGGCCTAGGGTTCGTCACCTACTTCATTTATTCTTAGCGAGTAGTCAGAATATCAGACTTGTTTGATTTTTATAACCAAGCCTCTCCATGGAACAGAGAATCTGATTTCTTTGATCATACGATAAGCGAATATCTTTTATTAAAATTAAAAAGTTATTGACTACTGCTGAATAGGTTGTGATAATATTTAAACCAAAACTAACCTACTTAGTCAAAATATTTCTTTTCCAGGTTCAACATAGCCACCGGCCAGGCCGTCGCGGCCAAAAGCATCGATTCCCTCCAGCACCTCTCCAAAGAACCCTACCCCGCCCCCCTGGCGCCTCCCGTCTCGGCCGCCAACACCACCGGCTCCGCCATCTTGGACACCTACCTCCAGTTCATCACCGAGAACAGCGGCATGATGGGCATGATGAACCCCGAGCAAGCGGCCGCCGCCATGCAGGCCGCCAAGCTCGCCCAGCTCAACGCCATGGGCATGGACAAGGTGGCCCAGCAGCATTTTTTGGAGAAAATGCACCAGCAAATGCAGAGCGCGAACGATTTGATGATAAAAAGGAACGATGAGATTAGGAGGAATGACGGGGAGCTTATTATGAATGATAGAAATGAAAAAGATCATGAGGAAGGTGATTCTTCTGGGGGTGAAGAGGATGATTACAGTGATGAGGAGATGGAACCTGAAGGTGTTAAAGCGGGAGATTAAGTAAACGATGGAGGTGTAGAAACGTAGGTTTTTAGTGACGGTTCAGTTAGTGCCGTTGGTCTTGCCATAGAACGCGTGTATAATTCCATCCCAACTACCTCAGTTTGAATCTTGTTAGAGTATATTTATTGTTTTTTTATACGTATATTTTTTTCCTCGAGAAATATTCGCGATATTTGTTGAAATGAATAAGGACAGCAAATTAAGGTCTTTTCATTAGCATATATCGTGTAGATTTTGTGACAAAGAAGATAATCTACTTTGACCGGCAGGAAATAGAATCAGGAATTTCAACGTTCAATATATTTTGTTCTAATGAGCCGATTTTGATGATTTTTTAAGCAATGCGTAGCTAAGTTACTTGATTTTTTAGATCCTTCCTTAATTTAAAAATAAAAGTCTCATTTGTCTATTATACGAGGGAGAACAAATTGTTATTTTTTTGGCGAAGTTTGAAAATCGTTTAACGAAATAAAAGGTATTTAAAAAGTATTTTATTATCAAAGTGCAATTCTTTTCGATAGTTTGTTTTCTTTTTGGTTTATTTCAATATCTTTATTTTTGTTGGAGATATTTGTTTTTTGAAGATGACGAAATCTTCTCTTTTAACTAACTTATATTTTTGTTTAGTTTAAAAAAGTGAGTAGAAAATATTTTTTCATTAAAAATACATCCTTGCCAGAAATAAACATAAAGATTATTATAAAAAAATGAGTCCGAGACGATTTTAGAAAAAAATATATATTTCAGGAAGGATAAAAAATGAAGATTTTAATTTTCTTTCCTCCGCTAAAAATCGGCTTTTCGGTTAAGAATCATGATCTTTTGATTTTTTTTGAAAATGTCAAAAACCGTTTGAGTTAAAGAGCTAAAAATTTAGATGAAATATTTTGATTCAAAACCAAATCGATCCGCTGAGTATGAGTCAAAAAATCCGCCGGGGCAGATTTCCTATAATAATCGGGCTATACCCTTTTATTATTACTCTCTATGTGTTGCATATAAAAAACTTTATTTTATAAAGGATAATAATGAAATCCCTAAAAAATATAAAAAAACTGTAAAAACAGCAGTATAAAATAAACAATTAGGTCACACTTTAAAACTAATAACCCTTAGTACACTAGAACAAAATATATTGTACTTAAAATGGCATAAAAATTATAAGGTTTCCGTTCTTCATGCCTGTCAGTGTAGAAAAGTAAAAATAGTCCAAAACGATACTTAATCACAATTCCATCCGTCTACCTCAAGAACGAAACAAACAAAGATAAACGGAAGAAAAATAATTAGTTTTTAGAGTACGCCCAGCAAAATATTAAGGGTTATAAAAAGTGTATACGGTCATATATGAAACACGTTTATACCTCTTCAGTGCATTATACATATAGTTATATATATTTCGAGTTGATGTCGTTTAGAAGCCTCTAAGTAGTGTAGTATTTCTATTATTATTATTTTTGATGAAAGAGTATATTTTCTAAGTCACGATTAGTAATTCTTTTACCTAAGTTATTTTAATTATCTGTAATAATAATATAAGTTGTTTCTCTATATTTTTTTTGTTCTACTACACTTTGTCAAAAAGACACAAAAATTTCAATAATGTGGAAACTATTAGTAAATAATTTTTATTATTTAGGTTGCATTCAGAATCTAAAAATTATTGGAATACATTAATGGTTTCAATTAGCGTAGATATTTGTTACTCTAGTACTTTTTAATTAGTAAAAAAGCTCACAAACTTAACTTTTTCCACTTAAATATTATAATAATAATTGAAAAAGCTGTTGCGCATGTACCAGTAATGTCATTTTAGCCTTTGATTGTCATCTGTCAAAAGAAGTGAGGTTAGAAATAAAAAGTTTTTTGTTTTATCAGCTAGTTAATTGACTTTATGGATACGTACCGGGTGGCCAACTAAGAATGGACGCCGGCTGTATCTTAGAAACTACTTATCGTATTACTTTGGGAAAAAAATTCTAATAAGTAAATCGACCAAGAGAAATCGCTGGAAATTATTTTCAAGTTCGAAAAATGTCCGCAAGGGGGCATTTCTCTGATAGCTAATCAGAAAACGGGTTTTCTCAAAAATATGCAGGTGAACAGGTATTTTATATATTAATATTGTAATCATCGAGAAATTTGTGAGTGAGTGTTTTGCTCTATCTCATAAAATAAAGTGGTGGGCGAAGGTTAAACTACCTTTTATTAAAATAAGGATGAAAAGGATGAACTATGGTTTGGGCTAACCGATTTAAAAAAACTAGGGCTCGTTTAAAAGAGCTTTTCTTCCTTAATGATATGCAGTATAATTTTTGTTTCCATAATTTTTTTCGTGGTAGCTAGAGGGCGCTGTTTGATATCATAACAGATATTGCGCTTTTGCATAAAAAAAATAAATAGGAGGCTATATTTCTCTTTGCACAGTTAAATAGAGCACAAAATTTCTAAAATATCAGCGCAAACCGTAACTTTCTATCTTCTCGAGATATTAAGAGAAAAAATCATGTTAGGCTGCCGCTTAGGATTATATGGTCTAAAAATTAGAGTAGGCTAGGAAACAAAAAGAGGTAAATTGGTTACATCAAAATATCAAAACATATATTTTAATTTCATTTTAATACCATTTAATTGTTATTTATCCATGTTCGTTCTTGATTCGACCCCATAAATTAAAACCCAGGCATATTGAATCCGATGATCTAGCTGGCCATGGAAATATGCCACTCCAGTGTATCCAAAAAGCCTCTCACATTCATAGCTAAAAAAGCGACCAAGCTGCACCAACTGCATCATCTACACCAACTGCATTCATGCTAATGAAATTGCAACAAATGCAATTTCATCATTATGGATCCCCTAACAAAATTGGCAATTCATCTCTTAGAAATTATGGATAGTTTATTTCTTTCGGATAATTAAAAAAGTCTAATCATTCGCCATCCTAGAAATCCTGCCTAAACTTGTACCGACCAACAACGGTCTTGGTGCTGAACTACTTGCATGCAAGGTAGATTTGGACCAGTAGTGCATATTGTTAAGATTCGCACTTTCGGGTCTATATGAAAAGTGACTCAAACGACATAAACTTTATATTATAATAGCAAACAACACAAACAACAGGTAAAACACGAAAACAAGTGAAATCAACGACGAACTTGGATTAATAGCTAAATGAAATTACATGAAGTTTTCGGCCATACGAAATTTGTTATTGTTAAAAGCAATATGGCGACACAAAATTCCTAGAAATTTTAAGAAAATTATTGATTGTCCGACTTTTGGACATTTTAATCTGAGAACTAACTACCTACGTATAATTAACCAAGAAATTCATAAAAATTATGTGGATGGACGATAATGTTATATAAACACGTTTAAAAATTTATGACGTCATTTTTTTTAAGAAAACGCCCGAAATTGGAATGCATGGAAACTGAACTTAAACGTTTTGATATTTTGATGTAACCAATTTATCTTTTTTTGTTTCCTAGCCTTCTACTATAATTTTTAGACCATATAATCCTAAGGGGCATCCTAACATGATTTGTTCTCTTAATATCTCCGGTTAGAGACAAGATAGAAAGTTGCGGTTTGCGCTGATATTTTGGAAATCTTGTGCTCTATTTAACTGTGTAAAGAGAAATACGGCCTCCTATATAATTTGTTTATGCAAAAGCGCAATATCTGTTATGATGTCAAACAGCGCCCTCTAGCTACCACGAAAAAAATATGGAAACAAAATTTATACAGGAAATCATTAAGGAAGAAAAGCTCTTTTAAACGAGCCCTAGTTCGTTTAAATCGGTTAACCCAAACCAGAGTTATCCTTATTTTAATAAAAGCTTTTTTAACCTTCCCCCACCACTTTATTTTATGAGATAGAGCAAAACACTCTATATAAAAAAAATTACAAATTTTTTGATGATTACAATAGTAATATTAAAAATATCTGTTCACCTGCATATTTTTGAAAAAAACCCTGTTTTTTCATTGGCTATCAGAGAAACGTCCCCTTGCGGACATTTTTCGAACTTGAAAATAATTTCCAGCTATTTCTCTTGGTCGATTTACTTATTAGAATTTTTTTCCCAAATTTATACGATAAGTAGTTTCTGAGATACAGCCGGCATCCATTCTCAGTTGGCCACCCGGTACATCTGACTACAACAAGCTGTTGCTAGAGTATTCCATTAATTTTAGTTGGACTTTTTAGCATTGTGAAAACTCTTAAAAAATATAAATTATAATTGAATTCACTAATTTATTATTACTTAAACATTTCAACCATATAGATAATGATGAGGTTACTGAGGAAATTTTTGGAATAAGTCACATCGTCCATCTTTACTGCTCTTTCTGTAGGTTTTTTGTTGATGTACCAATCTGAATTAATCTTTGTTATCATCACATTTTGACATTTTTGCTTTCATTGTTATACAAAATCAAAGGAACAAACTAAACATTCAAAATTGATAAAAGTTATTAAGTTTTCCTGGTTTTCGGGTTTTTCCGGTGGTTAGGATTTCAAAGCAAAGAACAAAATTTGTTATTTTTTTGGTATTTTTAAATTAAAATATCGTTCTTACTTATGTACTACGTTCCGTAATAGAAGAATTACTAATTGTTGACTTAAAAATACCTTTCTTTAATGGCAATAAGAACAAATAAACTTAAACAATCCGTACTGAACTACAAAAACTATCTTAATGATTCTTCCAAGCCAGAAATTATTAAGCATGTTTTAATCAAGTTGAGTAAAAAATTTTTAAGGCATTTAAAATGGTACAAAAACCGTTTTTGCCTTATCGCGATAACTGATATTTTTATATGTATATTTAAATAATTAAGTATCTTTACCAACCGAAAAACTATTTCTGTTTAAATTTTTTGAAGCTTCCAAAATTGTCTAAAATAATGCTTCCCTTTAAAGCAATTCGTAGTAAATAATAACAATCAAGATGTACGATAGAATATAATTTAGGGTTAACAAAAAAAATCGTAGATAGTTTATATATCTATATCATCACTCAGGTATTCCACCGCGCTATCATAGGAACAGAGTACAAAACTCATCGTAGTGTGTTAATTTTTACTTGTTTTACTCATTGAACGGATCTCATGTCACTTAGTGACGTCATTATTATTCACCATTTGTTTGACAATAAATCCCAATGTTAACGTGTCAACATTTAATTGGTCAGTAACTGTTTTAATGTTACGTTCATTTTTTTTATTAAAACGATTTTTTTATAAATACCGAAAAAATGGAGTTTGAGGTTGCTCAGTTTGAATAAAATTGATTTTGAAATATTTGATCCATGATTATAATATTAACTACCACCCTGGATAATCTGGTTTTACAACGGATAAGCCTTATTTGAAGTTACGATTAAACATAAATAACAAAATATAAACAAATTTTTGAATTACGTGTCACTATAACAGCCTAATTTAAATATAAAATGCATTTTTTTTTAAATTCATAGTTTGGCTTATGAAAATTTTTGTCACAGTATTATTTGAATTTATATATCCTATTCACTCTTATATCATTATTTGTTATTTAATATTTTTAATAATATAATCTGTGTATCACAGTTTTGCCAGATTATGATAATTGAAATTATTA